TATATATATATATATATATATATATATATATATATATACACACAAACACACTTGAAATAACCAAAAATCATAAATTACTATATCAATACCACAGAATTCCACTATACTTTATTAAGCTTAATAACTAAACTGTATTTCAGTCTAAAATGTGAAATTGCAAGCAGACTAAAGACTCAACTTACCAGATTGAGGTCTTGTATTGAAAGAACATGTTGACGTCATAATACTTCAAAATGGCTGAGAAAGCCACTAGAGGGACATTGAGTTTTTGATTGGTTATTCACATCATAGACAGAAAAAAGTGTGTATAAGGAAGTGTTTCCAAAAATGGAAAGAGGTGGGCAGAGCCAGTGTGTGTGTGATTCAGTACATGAGCAATATTTCAGCAAATAGAAAAGATAAGAGGTTCTTAGTTTATATTCTAGCTTATCAATATCGACAATGTGTTCTTAATTCATAAGAAGCTATAAACTTTGTATTTAGACACCACAAACATCTAATCTGAACCAGTGTTGCATTCAACATACCACAATTTGATGTTTAGTTGTTTTTTTAATATGTACTTTTAAATTAAGAAATTAAATAATGTATAATACTAAAGTTTGAATTATAATCTACATTTTGATACCAGACTTATTGACATAAATTCATAAAATAGTAGTTCAATGAAATTTTGAATGCAAGTCAACAAACACAAGACATGGCCTTTGACTCATGTGGAGAGGATTAAGTGTCCAAACAATAAAGAAAATTAGGGCTGTATTTAAGTAATACTGTTTAATAATCCAATATATTCAACTTTTTCATTCTCATAATAAAAATCTATAAAACTATACACATTTAATGACCTACAATTTATCTACTAGATTTATAGCTTATTCAATGACTTGTAATTTTTAAGTCAATTTACAAGAAATAGTAAATGTTGGTGTTAAGCAACATCTATTGTCAAAAAAAAGTGAATACTTTTCATAATAGGGTATGCACAAAATATATGAATTTAGCTTTACTCATTCACAGATTTGTAGCCTACCCAACAATTAGCATCACTGGTAACATAGTTTGTAGCAGGAACTTGCAAAGTGCTACACTGAAGTACAAGACACTTGTTGCAGTTCTGGTCATTATTATTAAGAGTCATTTATGGCAACAGGTTAAACAAATAAATTAATACTGAATATTCTGGTAATTTGGACCACAGATATCCTTAGGGGTTGTCCAGAAACTTGTACACGACGACTGATCAACTTACAGACAGATGGTTTAACAACTTTTTCAGGTTTCCCTTGCTTGTCTGGCATAGTGACCCCTTCTGGAACAGCAGGCAGTTTCACTGGAGTGTTGGGCTTACTCAGTGCTCCAAATTGTTCATCTGAGAAATAAAATATTTTTTACTTAAAAAACAAAGTGAGTTAGTTAGTTAGTTAATTATCTATCAAGTTCACACAAGTGCTAGGTAATTTAATTAATATAACCAATTATCTATGAGCAATTACATCAATTAGTAAATTAAATGATTAACCAAACTTCTGATTAAATCGATTGTCTGATAATAACCAACTAATCAAAATTTTGATTTTCGACTATACAAACTACCAAACTTGCTCACTTTTCTCTTAGTTATGGTAAAGCTAAGACCATCTCTCACTACCATTAATTTTGAAATTCTGATACTGCTTAGAGTTAAGGAGAAATGTGTGGCAGCATCTGCTACCAACCCCCTCCATCTTTTGCTTGTATGTACTATGGTTTGATGAACATTGTACTAATTGATTAACAAATACCATTCTAGTTCATACCATAGTAGAAAAGTATTATGCATATTGTTTTACACGTTAACTATGACAAAATGATATGCTAATCTTCTTTAAGCTCAATAAAATAAGTTTGTATATTAATAAAAACAAAAACACTTTAGTGAAATAAAAATTTTCCTTTTAAAAGCCATGTGACAAAATCAATACATAGCCAGTAAGTTAATAAAAAAAAACAGCATTTAAGATAATTTCAAAGCTTCTCAATCAATTTTCAGACTAATAGTTTCTCATGAATGAAACCAATACATTTTTACAAGCATAAATTCTTGTTGAAACAAAGATCATCATGATAACAATTTCTATAAAGGTAAAGTAAGCTAAATGAACTAATACTGATGACTTTCCTCACATACCTCATTTCTTGCCTGTATAAAGGGAAGCTAACACTCTTTTATGCTGGAATTACCAACTAAGGAAAATTATCTTAATTCTGTCTTTGCTCCTATTATTTCATTATTCTGATAATTAACAAATCCTTCAACAGACACTGATGCTCCATATTTATACACGCTTGCTTCAAACAATAATTTTATTTCAATATCAAAACCACATAAAACTAGAGCATGAGAATAAAGCTGCTTTATTAACCTTCAACTTTCTTAAACAAATTTTTCTAAACTACTAATGCTCTAAATTCCTTGAGGGATAATAACACAAGTCACAGGAAAAAACTAACTGAAATAAATAAATTTTGAGAAATCAAGCTTGACCAACAAAGAGGCAGAAAAGTACAGTTGAGACAGTCAAATGTTGGTAAATTCTTTTTAATGAGGTAAGCTAGCAAAAAAAAATCACACAGGAAAGAAGTGGTTACTTATATAACATCTTATAATATATAGAAAAGCCACTGCATTTTGGTAACAATGCATTCCAACAATGCCTTTTATGTCATGTTGCTTAACAACAAAAGTATACAGGTTATACTTTTATGCTAAAATGGGTTCAGAATACATACACTATCAACCTAATAACTTGAGCAAAGCCGTGCACTTTTGCTAGTTCCAAATAAAGAAAACATTATGCCCCTACATGCACACCAATACATGAAATGCACAAATTGTATACCCAATGGACTACAGTTTCAAGATAATCATTAGTCTTTTTTCAATGTTTCATTAATCATGGGTGATATGGTAATCTGAGTAATGCAATACAATTATCTGCATTTTTGCTGATTGTACCCACCTCAGCATAGCAGGCTAAAAGATGGCCATTGGCAGAAAAATATGCAGTTTTATATTATAAATAGTGATTTAAAACGTGTAGATTTAAATTTTTAATTACAAGGAACTACTCAAGTTACTGTTCATTTCCTGATAGGTAGTGGCTATTGGTGTTACCGATTTTTTTTTTAACAAATGTCTAAGGAAGAGGCACGGCAGAAAAGGTGATCTTTTCATAAGTACTATAACCTATCATGAGAGAAATGATAAGCATTTAATATGAAGACCAGACATTAATTTTCAGAGTAGTCTAATGTAGTAGTATTAGTTAATTATTCACTTTTCTATATTCTAAAATATATATCTGTAGCATAAGGTAAAAATACTCTTTCTATCCAATGCTGATAGCAAAGGGACATACTGGACAAGCTAACTTACCCTTGTTTATTTCCAGAAGAGGCTTTCTCGAGTTTGTTGTGGATATGATAGATATGTTCTTAGCATCAAAACGTGGTGCCATTGTAAGACACGAGGTTGGAAGACGAGTAGGAAGGTACCCTGAAAAATCAATCAACACAATCCTTTCATTATAAGTGCTATTTATCATAATGATATAAAATTCTTGACACTTTCTTATAATTCAAAACTAACATATAAGAACAAAACTCGCAAACTAATTTTCAACTCTGACTACAGGCTGGGTGTAATCCACCCAGCTCATAACCACCAAAGTAACCATGACAGCATTCATACTATAACTTTTTTTATAATAGATGCACATCTTCATGAAATTTTTGCAAACTATCAGTAAATGTTACAAGGATTTCATAAACAAAATATTGTATTTCTTAATTAAGCTTTAAAGTTTTTTCAATTAAAGATTTCCTAATCCATTTTTTTTAATGTTGACTATCCAACATGGAAAGTAATTTTGATTTTAAGATTAAAAATATTTTTAAGTATCAGAAAATTACCAAATTTCACTTGCAAAATCTCTATAACCCCCACAAACATCTTTCTCAGAAAAACTTTATATCTTATCTCTGTACAGGTTTGGTCAAATTGACCGACCTCATAACCACCATAAAAATTAGGAAATAGATCTAAACTATGCTTTTTTCTTTCTAGAATGACTACAAGCTGTAACAGGAAAACACAAATATTTATTCTAAAAGCTCGTGACATCTCTTTATATTTATTATTTCTATTTTATTGACTTGTCAGCTGTGTCTTACAAATATTACAGAAGTTGCAATCATGTGGCACACATGCTGCTCATGTTATTGTATCCAATAGCATAAAACTGGACTTTACAAAGTGCAACTGTCTTAGCTTTGTTCTAGTGGACCAGTATTTTGTAAAATACAATTACATTTTGGTTATAATACATTACACATGTATACATATTATTACTAGTTACAAATAAATTCTTAAATTTCGGTTATTTTTCTTAATACAATAAATAAAGAAATAGAGAAAACCATGATCTCTATTACTGACGATTGTTAAGAAGTTTGTACTCACTTGCCTGTACCTTGCATGCTAAGCCTTGTCACATTTTGCATGTGGAAGATGTGAAACAAGTTTTTTTAGGTTTTAATATATGCATTTGGTAATAACACAAAAACATAAATTACTATATCTATAACACAGAACTCTGTAATTTACCTAGATTACTAACTAAGCTGTATTTGCATCTAAAAAAAGACATTTTTTGAGTACCATTTCATCTCACTCCTTCTTTCCAAGCCAATACACCTTGTGAAAGCTGAGAAAACCACATGGGAGAAATTCTGAGCTTTCAATTGGTTATAAACATGTGACCGAGCAAAGTTAGTGTACATAAGCAAGTATTTCCAACAATGAAAGAGGTGGGCAGGGCCACTGTGTTCGATTCACTAAATATAGTGATATCTCAGTAAATAGAAAAGATGGAAGGTTCTTTTTTTTAATATTCTAGATTGTCAGTATTGGTAATTTGAGTTTCTATTTCGTACGAAACTATACTTTTTTGTAATTGGACTTTGACACATCTAATTTGAACCAAAGCTGCACTCAACATACTACATGACACACACAAATCGATATTTAGGAATTTTGATCTAGTATTTACTTTGAAATTAAGAAATTAATTGATGTATAATACTAACATTTGAATTATAATCTACAATTTGATTCCAGACTTACTGCAATACATTCATAAAATTTTGAATGCAAGTCTACAAACGAGATGTTATACCCTATGACCCCTACCTGTAGGAAAACCCATAGCTATAGGATTAAGCTATCAACAAGTTTTATCTATTTTTAATTCAACCAGCTTTAAAATATACACACATATAAATATCACAAATAACTCAAGCACAACTTGACATTTATTTACTGAAAATGTACCTGATGTCATAAACTCATCATGTAAGAGTTGATCCATGTTTGGTCTTTGAATAGGGTCAGACCGAAGTAGTTTTTGTATCAAATTACGAGCTGGAAGACTGACTCTAGAAGGAATGTGGTATTCATTTTTCTTGATTCTCATGTAGGTGTCCTTTAGAGAGGAAGTCTCAAATGGAGGCTTTCCCACCAGCAGTGTATATCTAAAATGTACCATTTTTTTAGTTTTTTTTTGAATAAATACTTTATGTAAAAAAAATAATTAAATATTCTTTTTTTTACTAAAATGACCTTCTGAAATATGTTAACTTTGATTTTAAGTGTAAAACTATGTTACTACTTAAAACGTTCTTTCCATTGGAAAACAACTGAAATGAATATGGCACTGATAGTGTTCACAAATAACAGAGGTTGACTATATAGTATAAACATGCTAATATTTTTTAGCTGAAACAAACTTGATTAGCAATGTATGAATAAACATTTTTAATCCAATATTTTTTTTTCAGTTCTGACAGATAATTTCATTTGAAGTTAAAACTTACATTATACATCCCAAAGACCATGAATCCACTTCAAAACTATGTCCCTTCTTTCCAAGTACCTCAGGAGCAATATAGTTTGGAGTTCCACACAATGTTCTGAATATGACAAACTTGCATGAGTATCATCTGGTGTAAATTATTTTGCATGACATAGTATCTTACATAAAAACATACAAGATTGGTAATAACGATAGAAATACACAGGTGATACACACATACAGTCATAAACAATGAGTAACTGCAACTAAGTGGTATAAACTTTTCATTAGTCTTTTTTTTACTAAAATACAAAAGCAAAATGCATCAAACAAAGCAACAAAGTTTATTGTTGTATGACTGTATTGTTCCCACTGTCTTGTATTACTCTCCACAATGAAGCCAAGTCATTTGGTTACCATTTTCATATAAGCTCATACAGCCTTAATAATATTCATATTAGTACTTTGTACAGGCTAAGCCATGGTTGAGTGTATTCCATAGGTCTGTTTAGGATTCTTATATCTTTTCACCATGCATCTTCTGCATGCTTGGGGCCACTGTCTTGCTGAAAGATGAATTCCTATCCAAGAGTTCTTGAGGAAATGATATGATGGATAAGAATCTTCTATGTGTCAGCAGCAAGGGTATTATCACTTTTGTGTACATTTCCAACACTATAGGCCAAGATGCACCACACACACTTGCATTGGGCCCCTCCAACATGCATTATTATAAATTCTGTATATTGATTGTGATACTATTCTCTTAGATGTCAAACAAACTTGCACTGTTTGTTGCTGAACAATTCAAACTTGGATTCATCTGTAAAAAACACCCACCTTCATGCAATTGTTTCAAGACTGTTGCAAATTTCAGCCTTTTAGTTTGGTTATCTCTTCTAAGCAGTGGTTTCTGAGCAGGTATACATCTTTTGCTAATGTGACTTCACTGTTCTGGAGGAGACGTACTCATCTGTAATTACAGCAATGCCATTGTCAAGGTCTCTGTTAGATCTTTCTTCTAAAGAGCATACTCTGAGTCACTTAACATCACTTTGGAAGAAACTGGGCATTCTACTTGAATGCTTCTGTTATCAATAGTAATAGTTTCACATACTATCTTTGGAACTTCCATACAGATCCAGCTGAAATGTTATATTCTGCCTTTCTCCAATGTATATAGTAGTCTTCATCAGCCAAAAATAACTAAATATTTCTATCATGGCATTTTTGGTCCTGGGAGTGACGAATGCATTTAACACGTTACTGATGAGAAAAGTATGAGTGACTGTATTTTTACAAGTATTATGCTGATTCTGTACTTGCTGATTAGTTAGATGACAGACAGTTGCTGGGTAAACTATCAACAAATGACTGAATTCTGGTGCATTCCTTTTTTATACAACAGAGGGAAAAATCATATAATAATTGCATTTTATGCCCACTTTATTTTCTGTTTCCATAAGTATTTCCAAAACTGTATGTAAGAAACCAAGGATGACAAAATTAGTTTAAATTTTGTTTAACATAATTCATATAAACCCATTAAATAAATAAATTGTTCTAAAAGTATCTTTACCCTGAAACAACAAATGATGTACATTTCCATTCATTACCAAGTTTGCTTAAATTAATAATTTCTTATGTTGTATCAGAATCACAATATTGATTTATATTGCACTGCATATGCTTTGCTGCAGACAAATTTAAGTTTTTACCTCACTTTTCAAAAAGAATCACTTATTTGTTCTTTAATGACATTTCTGACCTCTTTCTCTCCCCATCATAGTCTACACGTGTTGCCAGACCAAAGTCTCCCACTTTGATTTCCATGTCATCACTGAGGAACAAGTTACCAAGCTTAAGATCCCTGTGAATTACTTTTTGCTCATGGAGGTACTTGCAGGCTGTAACAATTTGTCTTATGAAGTAGCGAGTCTCTGGCTCTGTTATTGCTCTTCTCCTCTTGTGCATCTCCATGAGAGACTAAAAAAATAAATAAATATATATATATATCTAACAAAACAAGCAGCATATATCTCTCCTTATATATCACATAAAAGAACAATTAAGAAATGATTGACATAAAAAGGAACTTTACATATAATAAACAAAATACTCATAAATTGGTACTGATTTTCAGACCCATAACTTATTTTACTTCTCTCACAGATTAAGTGATGAACTTTTCTATTAACCAGTTAAAAATAACACTCCTTACCAAATCATTTACAAGTGTAGATGGATATGTACTGACCATTACTAAAATTATGCTCAAAATTAACTTAAATTTTATTTGGAAATTTTTGAGAAATAAACGTCGAACAATTAGCTCAACACTTCTTACCCTCCTTCGACAAAGTTCTAGAACAATGTAGATGAAATCTGGATCTTCAAAAAAACCATGAAAGTTTACTATATTTATATGGTTCAGACTTCTGTGAATGGCAATCTCTTGGGACATCTGCATATTTTTTAAAAACAAAATTGTTAGTTTTTGTTAGATCCTTTACTATAATGTAATTTGTTTTATATAACATAATAATGAAACTTGCCATTTATTTTAATAGATGCAACATTTTATACATTAGAAAATTCAGATTAAAAGAAATTATACTCAGTTCATTCATAGCTGGAAATCTAATACCAAAACAATAAAATAAACAATGAGCAAGCACATATAACACAAAAATGGTGTCCTTTATAAAATAACTCTTGTTTTGTTTCACAAGTTAATAAAATGTATATTCAAATAAAACCTGACTAATGAAAATTTCAAATTACTTTTTCTTTTTGATGTTGTTTTGAAAGCAAAGCCTTTGGAACAATCTTTCCTGCAAAAACTTCTTTAGTTTCCATGTCTGTCAGTTCGTAACATTTTGCAAAGCCACCCTATGAAAAAATAAAATTATCACAGAATGAAGTTTACTAATAAATAATATCAAGTATTAACAAGTATAAGACAGATTCTGCAAGTATTACTTTGATGCTATAATATCATACTTATAAACATAATGTATATAATAATATTCAGCAGAAATTAAGATCAGAATTCTAAAACTGGTGACTTACACAGTACATAGATTGTATATGTTCTTGTGTCATAAAGTTATAAAACTTCTAGTTTCATAAGCCTTAGTATATTCATCAAGTGGGCATGCTTTAATTTTTTAGTTCAGGTCTATATAAGTAGCTTGCATTGATCAATTCCTATAATAAAATACAACTTTAGAGTAGTACAGTCAGTACTATATATTTATAAGAAATCGGACCAAAAAAAAGTGAAATATAACGGCATAAGTAACATGCATAATTCATCCAAGTTGATATAAGACAGAACTGGAAACATAACTAGATCTGTAATTCAGGATACAAGGCTTAAGACAGTTTTTAATTGAAACAACAATTTAGCTGATAAAAAAGATATTCATTCATCATGATTAACTGATAAACTCCTGAATAGTTTACTAAACATCTGCACAAAAACAGTTCTATAAGTTTGTAGAACAGATTATAATCCTAGAGTTCCATACACTAGTACAAAAGAATTTCCTCAGGTAAGGCACTTAACGAAATAACCAAAAAAGAACTTGTATCAACGAGCAAACTTGTCTAACAATAACAATTAGATCACAAGAATTTTACCTAGACATGACTCTATACCTCACGGTCAAATAAGTCATGTTTCTAAATATTTTAACATTTATTACTAATAGCACAAAATCACATGTAGTTATAACTATTTTCTCTGCTACAGTTATTATAACTTAACTGTGTTGCACTCAAACATCTCAGAGGTAATAAATATATTAACATTTATATAATTTGCAGCCATCATAAAAGAGCATACATTGCACCTGCTGCACATTCCAGTGTACTTATCATGAATACTCTGCCTAAACAATCTATCAAAGATTTTAAGTGATATGTTAGATCATGAGGTATATGTACATACATGTTAAATGTGACACTTCATGGTCTTATTGTCATACATTAAATAAATCCACATTTATATTTTAATATTTCAAATCTCCACTACTAAATGTCTATTTGAATTCAATCTATCTAATGCTGTTTGCTGAAAAGTACATTTTAATGACAGCCTTCACTTTACACTGTGAAAAAATACAAAATTAACCCATGTTTTATAACTCACAGTTGACCATGTCAGTGCAGTAGTGATCACTGAAAAAACTATCAATTTTCCATATCCTTTCATAGTTTAATTTCTAGGAAATATTATATCCCAATGTGTTCAGATATAGCTTTTGTTGAAAACCATACACTAAAAGGCTAAAACACAAGTTTTAATATAAAACTTTAGACTACCTAATATGAGCATTAATAATTTTCTTACTATCTTCCACTAAACTATTTTTCCCAAGACAGTCTCAACTTTGAGTTTGTTTTAATACTACAAGTTGACATTTTGAAACTTGTTCTAGATTTTCCCTAAATTATTTTCTTGTCAAATAAAACATTAACAATTTCAATGAATACTAACAATGTAATGCAATGGTAGTGCCTAACATTACTGAAGTAGTGTTACTGAAAATGTGTCATCAAATCCCATCCTGTCCAAATCCCAAATTTATTCCTTTTCCCATCCTGCCCACACATGTCACATTAACATAATATTTTTGGCAATATTATTACTGCTATTTTTACAGCAGTTTATTTTTTCATATGTAGTTAACACAATTAAGAAAAATATGCTTTAACATTTCAGCACAAACACCAATCCTCAAAGTTCAAATGTAGACCAAAATAGAATAAAAACATAGGCCTACAACAACCTAATGAAAGCATGTAATTTTACCTTTACTTCTTGTGGATAGATTGATAGTTACTAGATTAGTTCATTTTTACCCTGTTACATTTAAAAATTATAATCAACAAGAATGGAGATAGAATTTGGCATGGTATACATCTACTTAGTGCCATATTCTATCAATAGGACAGAATTTGGATGAGAGATAAGATCTGGCAGCACGCTATCTATGCATTCTAATTTCTATTAATATTACTAATACATAACTTTTTAGGACAACATAGGACCTATTGGTCCTTCTCAGCTGTTCTATCCTCTAAACTAAATTAAAATAATAATAAAAAAAATCTTAGAGCCAGCCTTTATCATTCATATACTTATCAAGCTTTTTCTTAAACGTACTTAAATTTACTGCCTCTACAACATCTGAAGCTGAAGATGACTCCTACCCTGCCAACATTTATATTTGTGTCACCTAGTCCTACTATTCTCACTGTTAGATATGAAAAAAGATGATGAATCAACACTATCAATTCCCTTTACAATCTTAAACACCTCAATCAGATCCTCCCTCTAACTCTTCTTTTTTTCAAGAGAAAACAATTTGAGAGATTTCAGCCTT